TGTGTCACTGTGCGTGGTGACTGTGGTCAGGGAGGACGTGACTCTGGTAGTCAGAGGTGAGACTGCGAGTGCAGGAGTGCAGACTGCAGGACTGTGTCACTGTGCGTGGTGACTTGGTTCATGTGGAGGACTGTGATCTGGGTAGTCAGAGGTGAGACTGCGATGCAGGAGTGCAGACTGCAGGACTGTGTCACTGTGCGTGGTGACTGTGGTCAGGGAGGACGTGACTCTGGGTAGTCAGAGGTGAGACTGCGAGTGCAGGAGTGCAGACTGCAGGGATGGTGGTCACTGTGCGCGTGTGGACTGTGGTCAGGGGAGGACGTGACTCTGGGTAGTCAGAGGTGAGACTGCGAGTGCAGGAGTGCAGACTGCAGGACTGTGTCACTGTGCGTGGTGACTGTGGTCAGGGAGGACGTGACTCTGGTAGTCAGAGGTGAGACTGCGAGTGCAGGAGTGCAGACTGCAGGACTGTGTGTCACTGTGCGTGGTGACTGTGGTCAGGGAGGACGTGACTCTGGGTAGTCAGGAGGTGAGACTGCGAGTGCAGGAGTGCAGACTGCAGGACTGTGTCACTGTGCGTGGTGACTGTGGTCAGGGAGGACGTGACTCTGGGTAGTCAGAGGTGAGACTGCGAGTGCAGGAGTGCAGACTGCAGGACTGTGTGTCACTGTGCGTGGTGACTGTGGTCAGGGAGGACGTGACTCTGGGTAGTCAGAGGTGAGACTGCGAGTGCAGGAGTGCAGACTGCAGGACTGTGTGTCACTGTGCGTGGTGACTGTGGTCAGGGAGGACGTGACTCTGGGTAGTCAGAGGTGAGACTGCGAGTGCAGGAGTGCAGAGTGCTTGCCAGGGGACTGTGTGTCACTGTGCGTGGTGAGTCAGGTGGTCGGAGGACGTGACTCTGGGCGGTAGTCAGAGGTGGGACGTGGAGTGCAGGAGTGCAGACCGCGAGGACTGTGTGCACTGTGCGGTGGGACTGTGGTCAGGGGGCACGTGATCTGGGCTAGTCAGAGGTGAGACTGTGGATGTGCAGGAGTGCAGACTGCAGGACTGTGTCCTGCTGCGTGGGTGACTGTGGTCGGGGCAGGACGTGCTGCTGGGTAGTCAGAGGTGAGACTTGCGAGTGGCAGGAGTGCAGACTGCAGGACTGTGTCACTGTTGCGTGGGTGACTAGGTGGTCAGGGGAGGACGTGACTCTGGGGTGTAAGTCAGAGGTGAGACTGCGGAGTGCCAGGAGTGCAGACTGCCAGGAGCTGTGTGGTCACCTGTGCGTGGTGACGTGGTCAGGGAGGACGCTGACTCTCGGGTAGTCAGAGGTGAGGGGGGGCTGCGAGTGCAGGATGCAGACTGCGCGGACTGTGTGTCACTGGCGTGGGTGGACTGTGGTTCGGAGGAACGCTGGACTCTGAGTTCAGAGGGTGAGACTGTGAGTGCAGGAGTGCGGAACTGCAGGACTTGTGCTCGACTGTGCAGCTGGTGACTGTGGTCAGGGAGGACGTGACTCTGGGTAGTCAGAGGTGAGACTGCGAGTGCAGGAGTGCAGACTGCAGGACTGTGTCACTGTGCGTGGTGACTGTGGTCAGGGAGGACGTGACTCTGGGTAGTCAGAGGTGAGACTGCGAGTGCAGGAGTGCAGACTGCAGGACTGTGTGTCACTGTGCGTGGTGACTGTGGTCAGGGAGGACGTGACTCTGGGTAGTCAGGTGAGGGCGGATTGCTTGAGGTCAGGTAGTTACAAAGTAGCCTGAGCAAGAGTGATTCCCGGTTTGTATATAAATCGAAAAAAATTAATTGGCCAACTAATATATATAGAAAATATTAGCCGGGCATGTTAGTGCATGCCTGTCTTCCCAGCTACTCGGGAGGCTGAGGCAGGAGGATCGCTTGATCCCAGGGGTGTGAGGTTGCTGTGAGCTAGGTTGATGCCATGGCACTCACTCTAGCCTCTGCAACAGAGTGAGACTCTGTCTTTAGAGAAAAATAAACACAGCAGGGTTGAGAGCCATTCTTCGAGGCCACCCAGGTTGGGGCCGAGGTGGTAGATGCAGGAACCCTTCTGTGGGAGGTGGTGGTTGGGACAGTGAGCACAGACAGGGTCCTGCCAGCGGCAGAAGAGGGTGGGCCGGAGCCACAGCCAGACAGCTTGTCCCTGTGCCCTGAGACCCCTGTCCCC